CATGTGAGGTGTACTTTGAAATGTGCACTGTGACACAGCAGCAACAGCGTTGGATGAGCAAACAGACGCTCTGGCAGCATGAGAGCATGCTTTAAAGTGAATGATCGCTGTGTTGTACATTAGTAGGTGAATCTACAGCTCAGAAAAACAGAAAGGAGTACTAGAAGGGAAACTACGCAATGTACTGCTTTTAATTAAGGTCAACAAGAAAATGCATTCTAGCCATTTGCGAAATCAATATGTATACACTGCGCCCATATTTTCCATCCTGTATCATGCTGCAGACAGGCTTTTCCAAATGGGGACTAAAGGAAAAGTTTTTTGTTTTTTTTACTTACAGTATTTCACAGCTACCAGACTCCTAAGTAAAGACAAAAGAACATTTTTGTTTTGTCGGTTATTGTGTGAATATTAATTATTCTAACACATTCCTCCGGATCATTCTGGTGCCGACTTGTGTTCATGTCATGCATGGAGGCAAAGTGGTGAAAAAATGTCTAATGCAGCTTACACCTAAACTGACAGATGTTTTTTCATGTGAATCTTTTTTTGTGTGCGTGTGTATGTGATTCAATTTATTGTGCATCTATGAGAATGACTGTTGGTAATACTCCATAACTTAATATTTCTATTCTATATGTTAAAAAGTCCTAGTTATAATTTTGAAAATTGGATTTAGTGTTTGTTCAATTGCCTGTTAGTCCAGCTGGAGGTGTGTCTCGACAAAACGCCCAGCTATTTACACCCTCACAGTTCAGAAAGAGCTCTAACACAGATGCCCCTACAGATATTCATTTCAACAAACCGTGTTCCAAAGAGCCAGGTAAAACCCGATTATTATCTTTGACAATGACTCCCATTTCCAATAACTGATCACTTTCTTTCTCTGCTTTGGTGTTTTCACTCACCATGAAAACAGCATTCTCTAACCTAACATACCTAAAGTCAACAGAAGAAGTAGCCATGTATTATCAAATAATTACACATTCTTATTAGTATTTTAATCGCATCTCTTAAACATTAACTTATTTATTTGTTTGCTTCTTTGTTGACTTCCAAGTAAAGCTGCTCATTCACATATTGTATTTTTGTTTCTGTTGTTTTGTTTAGCAAGCAAAGTCTGAATATGGCGCCAAAAAGCTGTCTAATAAGACTGGCCTGCCACAGGTTTATTCGAAAGCCTTGTGAGGTTGCTGTTCTTTTCTACCGGTCAACCCAAAAATATCTTCCTTTTTCGAAAGCACTGTGTCATCTCACCAAACTACTTCTGAGACTAATTTAGACACAACATCTGTGGAGTGAATTCGGCTAAATTTACATGTGGCACAATCTCTCAGTTGAAGATAGAACAGTCTTGACTGTTTTGCCTTTGTGGTACATGTCAGCTGTCTTGCAGAAGTTTCAGCTCCACTTCCTCTGTTCCTCTGCGCACTGTTACAGCATGAGCACCTGTTTTTGATGCCATGGCTCACATGCAGCGGAAAGGAAGACCCTTTCCTATCAGAAACTCTCCAAAAACCGGCTAAATATTGTTATAAACATCTATTTGTTAGTAGTGTTTTTTCTAATTGCAGTGGTCTGATAAAAAAGGTAAATGTGGCAACAAATCCATCAAATAGACAACACCGCTCCATTGTTAGGTCCAATGCAGAGTGGAAGGCACAGATGTAGCAGCTAAACTATCACCTTTGCCTAAGGTTATGGAGTTCAGCATCCCAGATATGAAATCACATAATGCATAGCAGGATGTAACATTCACTGGTGTTTTTTTCATCCAGGATTGTTGGTTGGTAAACACTCTGGAGTGTTCTTCTAAACATGTCAATGACATAACATTGAAAAAGAATGTTTAGTCGCCCCACATATTGAACTGTTGGGCATGTTCTGTATTGCCTGGTGACTCCGTATTTAGTGTTTATCATATAATGGCAATCTCCAGACATTTCACGCACATTACACTTAGAGTACGTTTGTCAACTGATTTACATTGTGCTTGATTTATTGGTTGAAATTTCCCTCAGTAATTTATGCCCTGATATAATTTCCCTTTGGGGTTTAGAAAAGTATGTTTTGATATAATTTAAATTTCAGGTTTTAATTTTAAAAAGTCACTTACAGGCAAAACGATCTGTGGATTTAGCTAACCCTGGAGTGGACCTCTGTGTATTCTGCCTCTTTCCTTCCGGTAATTCCATTTGCCCAAACAAATTGTTGTATGATAAAAAAAAAAGTTAAACACAGCTTTACTCCGGTGTGTACGCCATTTGAAATTACACTTGCCAGTTAATTTCCTGGTCATCCAAAAATTTGCTGGTGTGTCTAAAAAGATTATTCTCCATATGAATCGTCCAGTTGTATTTCTGTCCTTGTGAAAACAGGAAGCTTGATGGCTGAATCCTCTCTGTTTACCCCCGTGTGCAGTGACTCTTTGGCTCACATGGAGGCAGTGCTGTGTCATCCACACGATGATGAGAGCCATCGAAACACCACAAAGAGCCTGTATAACAGTCCCCTGATAACACAATGCTCATGTACGATCCACAAAATCACAAAGCTGCTATTCATTCTACGGAGACGTGCCTCTTCATCTGCGACAGCGCTGAGCAACTTTACCACTTCTGAGCCCATCACAGTGATGTGCACTCAGGTTGGCGGTACCTGAAACTGGCTTTGTTGTGTCTGAGTACAGAACACACGCTGCAGGTGAGAAGAGGCTCTCTAAATCTAAATATACTGACCAATGTCCTTATGGTCTGGACCAAAGATGTCCCGAATTGTCACAGAAGAGAGATATATGTTCACAGAATGGTAGTCAGGATGAGGTGGGAACTTGGAGGAGTCAGAGTGTTCATCTGGAATTGAGACAAGAAAACACTGGTGTATAGTATATTACAGTCACTGCCCCGTTATATCCACGCAACAAGAATAAATCAAATCTGCTTTCTGGGAATTTACTGTCTGTTTAGCCTGTGCTGATAGCCCCCATCCCAATTTCACAATCATTCAACTACTATAATTAATGTTTAAGTTTTTGTCAAATTTAGGGAAAATACATATATAGCTAAGAGAGATAAAAGTAAATTAAAAAATCTTGTGTGATCATATGTTTGTCTTAAGGTTACCAAACTAGAAAGAAAACATAGAGTAGGAAAAAAAGGAAATAAACTGGTCTCACTGTGAAGCAATCCAAAGACAAAATGCCCCTCCCAAGGTTATTTGCAGAATCTTTGTCGGACATTGATCAACTGCGATGGAAATCTGAAACAAATGAAAACTGTGAGCCTAAAGTTATCTGTGACAGCTATCAGAAATACAACCGCGCCTATGTTGCCTGAAATGAGGTATATCTTAAAGCAAATTCAGACATCTCTCCTGTTGCTTAGGAATACATTCAGACAAACATAGTATAGATAAACACGCATAAAGAAAATATTGATGATCTTCTGCCACCCGTCTGCACGTAATATCTGCCAAATCTCTATTTTCTATGACTTTTAGTTTTTTTAAGGACTCTACTTTGCATTGAAGGAATTCTGTTTTTTTTGGTGTGTGTGTATTTTTTAAATCTAATTATGCAACCACTGGTCCTGCAGGGTTTTTTGTTTTCTCTTTCCAAAGTATGATAACATAATTTCTTGCGCGGCCCCACAGCATGACAGAACTTCTGCTACATTTTACTGTGCACAGGCTCTTTGTCACTGGGGGCTTTAAAGATTGCATTATGATTTTTGAAGTTATCCTACTTTCTCTTAACTTTTAGTGCATGGAAAAATAATCTACAAGGTCCAGAAGTCTGCTGCTCCTGTTTTTTTTTCTGCTGTTGTTTATTCTAACAGACCTACATTCCCAGGAATGTCAGATGTAATCAGTTCTGTTGTGGTTTTGTGTTTTTCAATACTTTTCTGATTGACCTATTACTAGTATCACATACTAGAAGGTTTGTCACAGTTTTAACTCTTGAATTTTGAAAATGTGATCCATTAAACTTTGAATCAGCCAATGCTGTGTGACCCCCTCAGAGCAGGTACACAAATGGCAACTCAACACTTTTTTGTGGACATTTTGTGCTTTTATGGCTTTCATGTGTGCCACGAAAATTCAGCAAATGAGTCTGTTTGTTAACTGTAAGATCCAATATCATAATGACAAAGCAAATCCTATCATGATTATTCCCTATAGACTTACAAATGACATGTAATCCTTTAAAGCAAGAGGATCTAGAAATAAAGCAATGTTATCATAGATGGATATTTGAGTTATTTATTCACTGCATGAAAAAAATGTGAGTAGTTCAATCACAGGATTTCCCTGAACCGATTAAGATACGTTTTGTTAATCTGTCACTCAAAATCTAAATAATTTCGACTAGACATGACAAAGCAGAACATTTTTTAAAAATCCTTGCAAACTATTTGAAGCTTGGCCATCACCATTAACACATATCAAAATCCAATCTTCTCAATGGTCACATCGACAGGTGTATATCGGAGCACTTACTCCTCGCAGTGCTCAGAGCACAGTTGTGGTTTGTGTGGTTTCCAGTAAGAAGGAAGCGGCTGCGCGCCGTGACGCGCGCACGGACGGAGAGGAGAGGTAGAAAGAGGAGGTGTTTCACAGATCTCTACTCTCTCAAAATCAGCCAGTCAGTCACCCAAATTACCAAGCAAAGGCTCGCGCATCTTCAAACGCGTCGCCCCCCACATCCTGACTGGGGAAACTTCCAGCAGACGCTCCGGTGGAGGAAAAGCACCATGGATGCGCTACGCGAGTCAGGCCGGGGAAACTGAAAGCACCCGCTCCAAAGTTTGACTGCAGACACCGCCGTGACCATCGCAAAGCAAAACTGTCAACTTTTTTATCGTGTTTCCTGCTCCCCTGACACTTTCCCCCCACACCCTCTGCCACTTGGATTTTCATTTTCTTTTTTTATTTGTTGCCGGGCCGGCGTGTCGTTTTTTTTTTTTTTTTTTTTCGCGGTGGTCCGCTGTAAGGAAGGTGACATGCAGGTGCTCGGCTGGACCACAGTTCTTCTCTGCCAGTGGATCCTTCAGAAGGTGAGCTGATGGGAGTAAACCGATATAAATGCATGTATTTTCTCTTCATTACCGGGGGGTTTTCAGGTGCTGCTTTTCTGGAGACACACCTGCCTTCTCAAGGATTTCAGTGTCCAAGTAATCCCCCATAAAAGTGATTTCTTTCCACAATATGATGACTCGAAAAATGGCATCCAAACACAATCAGTAGAAACTGTTTTCTAACTGCATACTTTAAAAAAAGCCTTGCTCATTAAGACTTACCCCAAAGTTGGTATACCAGTTGTTTAGCATGAACAAGCCACAATATGCTTTTTTATTATTATTTTTTTACACAATGCTCATTTATTTGAGCAGTCCACGGAATTATGTGCATAGATTTCTGCAGCCCGAGCATTTCCCTCTTATTCCCAGTTAACCGGCACTTCTTATCTATTTATCTATTTTCGCTCTCAGCAACTTCCTCTGATTTTTCTTCAGAAGTTAAACACGCCCATGGCTTGTTTTATTATCTCGTCATCGCAGTGGTGAGGAGTTTGTGCGCGCGTGTGGCTCTGGTTCATTTGCGCGCGTGAGCGTGCACACATGCATACTTTCACAGTGGAGTCGTCTCGACATCTTTACCTGTATTGTAATGATGCAATTGTTATATCTCGACCTACACAACTATCAGAGGCTTATGGGAAGGTTGTAGAAAGGCTGCAAGAAGAGGCTGTTTGCAGTGTTTCTTTGGCCTCAGCAAAAAATCAGAATTCAAACTGGACTTTCCAATTATCACCAGATTTCAACCTCTATTTTCCATATTCACAACAAACTTCTGTATTTTTCTCCTGAGTCATGTTTACCGCTCCTTTAATCAGACATTTATTGTACCTGTATGCATTGCTATAATTTACTGACCTTTTAATCCGCTTCTTGCTCAGGGTTTAAACTGCAGCCCTGAGGTGTAAAATGAGCCTTATTATCATAAACATGTCACTTGATTCAAGTGACAAAGTTAGGCATTACAAACTACAATGAGCATGCAGCAAAACGTTCAACACCAACAGAATTGCTTGGTGACACACAGACAGTAGCTGGCACTTGCTTAAAAATGAAAGGGTATAAAAGATAACTGGAATATTTTTGTGTTAGCCGCTGGCAGATTGGGGTTAGCTTGTTTTGTGGCAGGTAACGACACAAACGCCTCTCTTGAAGATTGAATGCAAATCACTTTTTGAGCTGAGCAGGACTGTTCATCCGCATAAAAGCGTAACTTGGGTTCAAGTGTTAGAACCGACTCTACATTTGATTCTATCAGCCATACTTCTCTGTGATATTGCAGCAGTAACTGCGATCCGTCTTTTTTAAGAGATGAAGGAGGTCAGACAAGTTGTTTTTTATCAACCCAGTGGTGTAGATGACACAGTTATTTTGGCTGTGATAATATGACAAGTGGCATCCTTGGGAGCAATATTATCTTGAGGATTAAGAAGGACGCTGCGAAGAAGTGAAGGCAAGTGAAAAATTGGGTAAACACAGAAGAGGCAGGAGAGGAGAAAAGAAAAGGCAACATTACCCAGTCCTCTAATCAAATCAGATCATCTCTGAACTAAACGCACTCATAATGGGCATTTGGAGCAACTGAGAGGCCTGTTTTTGTGCGAACTTCCTGGTTGTTTTACAATTGTCTTGCTTTCTTACCCTTTCTTACATTTAGTAATCAAACAGTGGCTTTCCAGCATGTATGTTGTGTGTCATAATTTTTTTTTCTGTCATGTGCTTTGAAATTATATCTACAGTAACCGCATTACAGAAGGAAAAAAAAGATGTGTGAAAAGCTTCTTTGCTCTTTTATGCTCCCAGTAGAAACAATAGCATTAGCCAGCATCTCAACCTAACAAAATCCTCTTATCTCCTCTCATAAAACAACTAGCTGTATACCCCAGGGATATTACAGCAACTGAGTCACTTTAATTTCATTGTATATAGCCCCACTTCTTTGCAACCATGTCTCATATATTCTGCATAGCTCTGCATTTCGGCATTCTCTGTATGTCTTGATAAAATACATCTGAGTCTTCCAATGCCTCGTGTTGCTGCCCACATGTTATGCACTAATGCTTGCTATTATGAGGGGAAATGTGGGCTATCGATAAACAGTAGGATCACATGTTTTCCACCAGGTTGGTTTGTGGCTTTCCTCCAACTTGCTGCCTTTTTGTCCGTCCAATTGTCCATCTGTGGATCATTTTAACTGTCAGATAGCCCCGTTTCAACAAGCATTAGGCACCCCGCTCTGTAATCTTTGCAAATTATATTTTCTATTCACTGATTAGATGTGTAATCTGTTCAATCATGATGACAAAAGCAATCACATTACTGTTATATCTGTTGTCTCTGAAATTGCTCCCGGAGATCAAAGACTTCTTAAACCTAAAAAAACACAGATTCATGCAGTATTTTAATGAATTCTGACATAGTTTGCTTGAGGTTAAGCAATATCCCATTTAATTTAATTTTTACCCCTTTTTTCAGCACAAGGTCTCCCATTTTTGACAAACTAATACTTGTAAAATGACTCACCACTTTCTTTGTGCAGTGAATAGTCCCATTTGAAGCGCTGTATTAGTCTTGAGGAAAGGGCCATCATTGTAAATAAGTACAGATAAGTGCATCTTTTATTAAAAGATACACAAATAGAGGTTCAGGCAGGTGGGAAATTAAAGTAAAAAATGACTTTGGGAAGGTGATGGGCTACCACATGCCTCCAGAGCAGCTTAAGTGTAAATGTTTGCTGATATTAATTCTACAATGGAGTGTTTGATGTTTAGATGGTGGTGGAGGACAGCACTCTGGAAAACATCAGTCCAAAATCTCACTTGGTATATTTCTTACGACCAAAGAGTCCTTACCATCTCATATATACATTTTTCATACTCATCAAAGCACCCGGCATCACACCTGTGGTTTGCAGCACACCAAAAGGGACCATTCACATCAGAATAAAAAAGTTGTTTTGTCATAGGGTTAAAGTGATCTCTGAAAGCATTTTGATATAGGTTTGCAGGAAATGTTCAATCCAATGGATCCAAAACGTGCCACAAAATTGTCCTTGCTCTGTCTCTTTGCTGAAAGGGTCAAGTATTCTATTTTTTTCTGTAAATTTCTTCCTGCCAAGTCACTATTTAAATGGTTAACCCTTTCCTTAAAGAGAAAACTAATCTGTATATTGATCATTGTGATGATAAATTAAAGAAAGATTGAAGAAAATGTGGTGGATGTTTTTTTAATTTAAGGTAATTACTTTAGAGTAATAAAAAATTGTGATTAATTATGCCAAAATTGAATAGCCAACAAGGTTTGTTGATAGACAGACTGCAACAGAAACAGCTCATATGTTTTTCGACTTCATGACAAAATACATCACAATAGAATTCAAACTGAAAGCACATTCATGAGTTTCGTTTGGTGTGTTCCCTCTTCTGCTTGAGTCACGTCTTTGTGGTTCAGGTGCAGTTAATAAAGGTGTTACCGGGTCAGACATTCAGCCACTAATTATGCCTAAAAATGTAAACAATATTTTTTATGCGTCTCTTGTGGGATTATTAGCGATGGATAAATATTCTGATATTTCTTCGGAAACTCATGAAAATACATCAAGTTTCTCCTGTGAAAGGGTTACTTCACTGCATATGTTCATTTTTAGTCAGAGAGAAAATACACTTCTAGTAAATTTCTGTCATGTGTTAGTGTTTTATTATCATAACCGATGCATTATCAGGGGGAAAAATTGTCGTAGCTATTTAACTGTGAGCTGCTGTCATGCCAATTATTATAGACATCCAGGTTGCTTGAATCCATTCATCATTTTGTATTATATTCAAATGAGAAACTTTGGATGGAATATCATATTACAGGTACAATTTGCTGGATTACAATCTTTCTATTGAGTGAACAATAGTATCAAAGCTAGATCAACATATTTTGTTGGAGAAAGACAAAACAGCACCTCTCGAGGAGCAGTTAGCTGACTATATCTTACTTCTTGAAAATGTAACTTCTAACTGTAGCCGCCATACAAATGTATGTAAGCGGTACAATATTGACTGTCTCAACTTTGACCTGTGTTTCCATATTTGCCTAGCCTCCATGTTTCACTTTGTATTTATCCGCCTTTCAGCTTTCTTTTGCAGTAACAGGCATGAATGTAAACTAGGGATTTCTGAATTGACTGCAGATGTTAGAGCCATTTCCAATGGATACATTTATCAAACGTGAATATTGTGGTCAGTACAGGGACTGGATTGTTTTTTTCAGAGTGTGATGGATTGATGTATCGATGGATAGATCGATCTGATGCAGAGCAATAGGCTATAAAAATAATGGAGGTTCTACCCACAAGTCCATCGCACTCCTTGCCTTCTGTGAAGAGCTGAATAGCCGGATGGCCCTGGGGACAAAGGACCTCCTCAACCTGTCTGCAGAGCATGACAGTGACAGAAGTCTGCTGCCGAACGTGCGTCTCTGTTTAGTAAACGTGCCGTGCAGAGGCTGGCAGTTATTGTCCATGATTGACAGCATCGCGTTCAAGGTCCTTCCCTCAACCACTGATATCACACACTCCAATTCCATTCCAACCGCAAACCCAGCCTCGTTCACCAATCTGGCCAGTGGTCTGGCATCTCTCATCTTAGTGAAGAGGACACTGGACAGGACAGACTGATAGTAGAGAAATGAAGATTACAAAATGTTCTAATTTTGAAGTCCAATGACAAAAATATATATGCCATATTGGGATCCTGGACTTGGATTTTTTTTTATGTGTATGAGCTATTTAGACATATTTCATGTCTTGTATTGTGTGTTTTTTTTTATATACGGTGACCTGGAGGTACATGAATTTGCATTAAAACTTTCCAACAAAACATTTCTGTAGGTAATTGGATAAAGCTTCATATTTTCTGCCGTTTGATTAGATAAAGCATTGCATTTTCTGTCATTTACAGTGCACAAGAAACATTGTGGGTATGCATGTTTTG